CCCATCTTGCGATCTGCAACATTTTAACTTATAGTTTTTGCTTTAAAACGTAAGGAAAAAGCAAACAATGACGGCAAAAGCGACGTTGGTGGTGGATAGTTTATTCCAGGCACAACGGCATCATTGAGGCAAGATTGGTTACATGTTTGGTTAGTAAATGCATTTCCACTGCACTGCACTGCATTACCAATACGATTTCTTCGTACGAAGCAACAATTTCATTTGCCACAGTTTTCATGGACCAAACAAAGTTCTGTACGCACAGCTAACAAAATGAACAACAAATACAGCACAACCATCTTTGGTGGTCGTAAGTGAATTGAACAATGAATTATATACACACACACTCACATGCCAAGAAGTATCGTTTTAAGTTAAGTTTATAATTTATCAAAGATAATAGTGCACTTCGTTCTTCGTTAAAAGTTTAAACAATTGGCAATAACAATTTCGTTTATGTTAATTGGAGGCATAGGAGTAAATGTCAGTGTTAGAGGCCTTCCCATGAACGTTCTTGTGGGGTTCTCAAAGGTTTTACTATTGAATATATATAACTTTCGGGAAGGTGTAGGGAAAGCGCTCACTGGACTTCCAATAAAAGAAATCAATGTTTAAGAAGACCTTTCGTCCCATTAGATATTTTACCGACCTTTATTTTACAGTCCTGCTAGGTCTGTATAAAGATGATCTTATGGCCTTAAAATGATGGAATGATAGTGTGATTTCTTTATATTTGGCTGGAAAACCACAAGTGACTATCATTAGAGCACTCCAGCATTTAAATGTGAATAAATCTTCTGTGTGTCGCACCATCGATCGTTATCGTGATATTGGTACCGTAGGCCGACCCCAAGGAAGTGGACGAAAGAAAACAGCAACATCAGCAGAAATGGTTCGAAAAGTAAAGAGGCGACTTGATACCATTCGGCAAATATTGAAAAATTAGCTCGGGGTAAAGCCATTGAATTTCGTGTTTAGACTCAAAAGAGCTAAAGAGTTGCCTCGCTTGGCCGAAAGTGGTTAACTGTCGAATTTGGTTTTCTCCAATGAGAAAACATTCGTTGTCCAGCAGTTTGTAAACAAACAAAATGATCGTGTTTACTTGCCAAAGAGGTCAGCTGAACATATGCACCTTCGGTTGCCCACCTCAACTCAAGCCGGTCATGGTGATGGTGTGGGCCGCCATAACAGCCGATGGTCGCTCTCCGTTCGTATTAATCACCGTGGCATCAGAATAAATGCCGAATATTATCGTGAAAATATTCTGGAGGGTGTATTAAAGGCATGGACACGCAAACATTTTGGCCGCAGACCTTGGACATTCCAACAGGACTCAGCGCCATCGCACTCAGCACGCGCTACTGAGGAATGGTTACAGAATGAGGTTCCTCGCTTCATTTCCAGCACACAATGGCCACCAAAATCTCCGGATACCAATCCGTTTCACTGTTGTGTCTGGAGTATTTTGGAAAGCAAGGTTGGCACTAAAAAATACCAAAGTGTCGACCACCTTAAGCTAGCACTTCGCCGGGAATGGGCCAAAAACCGCAGAGCAACATTCGGGCTGCTTATGAGCTTCATGGATTTTAAAAATTTTGAGACTTTGTGGGGGAGGTACCAGATTGAGTGGATTGGATTGAGTTTAGGAAAATATTGGAATGTGTGAAATGTTAAGACAGTAGGATTCTAACATCACATTTTAATTATTAAAAATGTTTACCTTGATGGAGCGGACCAATATTATCCATTTTTGTACCAGACCTATAACTGACTAAAATATTAGGATTTGCCAAGTTGGAACAAACCCGGATTACCGCTTCTCCTCCTGCGCAGAATAAAATATATACATATTTTTTTATTTTTTGACCTTGTATGGGGGAGGTACCAGAAGGGGTGGACCGATATTGTCAATCTTAACACCAGACCTTGAGTTAATATAAATATTTGGATGTCTGAAATTTGAAGGCAATCGGATTCTTACATCACATTTCATAAGAGTTTTAATTATTCCGAATTTTGACCATTTTTGGGGGAGGTACTTGATGGAGCGGACTGATAGCACTGACCTAAATATTAGGATCTGCAAAGTTTGAGCAAAATCGGAATACCCTTCTCTTTCTGTGCATAAAATATATATTTTTTGAATATTTCGACCTTTTGTGGGGGAGGTACCAGAAGGAGTGGACCGATTTTGCCCATCTTAACACCAGACCTTGGGTTAATATAAATATTGGGATGTGTGAAATTTGAAGACAATCGGTCTCTTACATCACATTTTATGAGAGTTGTAATTATTCAAATCTGGCCATTTGTGGGGGAGGTACTTAATGGAGTGGACCGATATTGTCCATTTTCACACCTAACCTAGCACGGATACAAATATTAGTATATGCAAAGTTGGAGCAAAATCGGATTATCCCTTCTCTTTCTGTGCAGAACATATATTTTTTGAAAATTTCGACCTTTTGTGGGGGAGGTACCAGAGAATATTGCCCATCTCCGAACTCAATCTAAGATTAATAAAAATATTACGATGTACCAAGTTTGGACCAAATCGGATACTCCCTTCGAGAGTTATTGTGCACACCAGCCAGACAGACGGACGGAAGGACGGACATCGCTAGATCGACTCCAAATGTTCTGAAACGGATTTTGTCCAAAGAGACCTAGGGTCTAAAACCATTATTTCGACTAGGCACGTTTTGACCGTATCAAATTATATATACCCTCGGTAGCCATATGACTGAGGGTAAAAAAATTAAAAATATGGTGTTTTACTTTGTTGTACTTTTTTTATCTCACCCTGTATATAAAAGCTCGTACGCCTTTCTACAGAAAATCTCGGAGGTTTCAGCGTTTCATATCCTTTCAAGCAGAAGACCTCGTCGGTCTTCCTGCAAGAAATCACATAGAAAAGCAGACTTCATACGATTTTCTTGAGAAGACCTTATTAGACTTGTATTTTTAGAGAAGACGCTATTAATGATTCTAAAGAAGAAATTGTAGACATTCTTATTAAAGGACACATAAAATTTCCTTTACAAGTTCTTATGCTTTATTTTACGGAATATCTTAGAGAACATATTTCATTGTGCTTATATTTTGTCTAATATTATTCGTTATGGGTCTTCCTATGTCAGACCTCATCGTCTTAGAACAAATGATGCAAAACAAATATATAAGTTACATCTACACTTGAGGCAGGACCTTTATTTTCTTTCAAGGACACAATAAACAAACGACTAGATTTACAGGATAACGACAAGATTTATCGTTCTTTCGGAATCCTTATTAGACCTCTCATTTTAGGGACCACAACCTCATACATTCTTCAATAGAATTCCTTATGGGACATCCTATGAAAGTTTTAAAAAACCTTTTTTCAGAAGTGTTTATATATCGTCTTATATTAATCCTTAGTATACTAGACTTAATAAAAAATACATATATCCTCCTCCAAAAGACCTCACCATCTTACTGATAGAAAACCCAATATCTACACATATAATGACGTCGAATGAAATTTTCCCCTTCTCCCTCAACTTGCAATACTGGCAGCAGTCACATTTCCTTTCAAGGACTCAATAAACAAAGTAATTAGAACGTGTATTACGGCACACAGTTTATCTTCATTATCAGTGCCAATATCACAACGATTTTTGGACATCATTACTAACCCGGAATTTTCGTTTTTGCTTCTCCTTTTAATGGGCACCTTTAAAGTGGCGACAGAACTTCATTGGCAATTGTCCTAATCTGTCATATAATTCTACTTTTTTATAACAAATACCGTGTAAGGGGGTGTGAAGGGCAGAGGAAAACTAGGCTAAGTGCCAAATAACTTTTCAAATAATCTGTCCTACAGACAGTGTGTAACAGATTCCATATATGATACCATGCCATACACCCTCTGTGTGCAAATTCGCTCACCCCACCTCTCTCACTCCCTTTATATGGCAGAGGAAACAAGCTGGCCAGAATTATTTGTCTGACGCTGACCGCATGTTAGTCCCTGGGGCTAATAACTAGGCATAGGCAGTAGCAGCTAGTGAGTGAGTGAGCATAATGGCAATAGAATTGATAATAAAAAAAAACAAGTCAAGGATAACGGTGATGATATAGAACACAGCTGGCAAAGAAATCATATTGCCTGCCCAGCCATAGCCCCCATTGCTTAAGCGAACTCTTCTCCATGGGCTTTAAGCAACAAATGCTTGTAAATAAGAGTGCGTTGCGTCTTTTTGGCCATAAGCAACAGAGTGGTATGGCATGACAGTGGCAGAATAGGAGTTTCCTTTGCTTTGGAACCGATGGCATTGGCGTTGTTGGTGTTTTGGCCTAGCCAAGGCATGACCTGACCTGTGTGGCGCATTAAATCCGTTTAAAACAGATTGCGTCAACTAAAAATCTCATATAACACGAAGCCAAAGTAAAAGAAAACTGATTGGATGATGTCCCCCTCTTCCTTGCCCAGCTAAAGAAACAAATGCAGGACACTTCAAACATAAAACATAATGGCAAGTGAGCCGGAGCCCCAGAGAAAGAGGGAGATTATGGCAGGAAGAGAAATATGAACTTTTCAAACGGCGATAATGTGGTGGCAACATATTGCGACTTAACGAGATAAATGTCAGCCTTTGGGGCATTAAAATGCCTTTTCAAAGCACCACCACCACCATCATAATACAGCTTCTGGACAATGTTCAATAAAGAATGGGGAAAAAAAGAGAGAACAAAACTAAAATAAAACATCCTTATTAAATGTGACTGCATTGCAAATTAACCAATATTGAATAAGTTTTTTTTTTCTTTTTTATTTTATTTTGGTTTTATTCCTTGGCAACTGGGACCCTTGTGTTGTTGGGGGGAAATCTTCAAGGAACGACAGGGGAGACATGGACCACTCTCCCCTTCCTTGTTCAATACCCTGGTCATTAAAACAATTCCCCGTAAAGAAATTCAAGCCATTAAAGCGCAAAGAAAATGTACTCTCTACTTACGTTTTTAAACCATGAATACGATGTTACGGGTGGCCTGGCATCGGCACGACATTTGAATGTAACATTTTGTCCTTCAGCTCTGGTTACTACGCGACTTGGATCTTCATTGGCCAAATGTACCGAAACCGTTGGAGGATCTGAAACGAGAGTAAATAAGCGAAGTAGGCAATCATGTTATTGACGTCAGTACGTGCGGTGGGTTGTGGTGTGTGTGTGTGGGGGGGGGGATGAAATAAATTGGCCAATTGAAAGCCGGACAGAATTTAATGAACGTTCACAAATTGAATCATAAAAAGCTTAATAATAAATTGAAATGGCTTTAAGAGAAGGTAGGCTGCTCCTTGTCCGATAAGGCCGATGTATAAGTTTACCCACATATAAGCTAGAGCATAAGTAAAGCTATTTAGGCAAAACTAGCGGCAACAAATTTAAGAGTACATGGGCAAAATACGCCTTGTAAATCTTCTACAGACGTCAATCGAAGAATTATCTTTCACAGATCTTCGACTAATAAAGACAAGGTTTTGTGCAAACTTTTTATAAGATTTTCGAAGAGAGAAGAACATGTAAATTGACCAAAGAATAACAAAATTGATATCCTATAGACAGAATATAGCTCTCTAAACTAATTCTCACAGCTCTTCTTCATATAGAGAAGCTTGTGTTCCAATCGACGAGGCTTGTCCACAGGCAACATTCTTTGCGTCAATTGAATTTTGTACGGGAACAAATGCAAATCAACGCGAATAATCCGTTGTAAAGTAGACCGAGCCATGCCCAACTGCTGAGAACGGCGTTTTTGGGATGTTCTTGGGGACCTCTCAACACTGGCTCGTATGGCAGCGATATTCTCGGCCGATCGCCTTGGTCGAATTTTATATGGCCTCTTCGGATTAGAAAGAGCCTTACCAGTCGAAAATTTTTCGTATAAACGCTTAATGGTGTTCTTAGAAGGCGCACTTCTCACATTTTTTAATGTTTTAAAAGCACGTTGAGTTTTGACAAATGACTTCTTCTGTTGAATGTAAATTTCAACTATTTCAGAGCACTCGCGTGGCGGTTATTCTTCATTGTAAAAATCTGCTTGGACTGACGCTTCAAACGCGGTATGTCATTAACCGATGTGACATCTCTGTAAAAAGTTATGGCGTTGCCAGATGGGTCCATCGAATATGGGCAACCCTGTAGAGAGAAGATCCCATATAGACAGAAGAGTTCTTCTAAACAACAAATAGCTTGTAGGAGAAGAATCGTTGCAGCACTTCTGTAGAAAGAAGAGTTATTACCCTCTACTGTGAACAGAGGAATAAGTGCAGCTCTCTACGGATAGAAGAGTCAGTGCAGATCACTACGGACAGAAGAGTCAGTGCAGATCCCTACGGACAGAAGAGCAAGTGCAGATTCCTACGGAGAGAATCTCAGTGAATCAGTGAATCTCTTTTACGGACAAAAGAGCCAATCAATCTCGTCTACGGACAGAAGAGTCTGTCAGTCAGTCTCATTTACGCACAGAAGAACCAGTGGACAGAAGAACCAGTGAAGCTCTTCTGTGACCAGAAAACCTGGGACCGATCTTCTTTGGAGATATGTAACATCTCTCCTATGGAGAAATCAGACCTGTTACAGAGCCTCTACTGGGTGAGATGAAAAAACAGCAATCATTTTCAAACTGCTGTCATTTCTACGCTACTCGTCCGACACCTGTTAAAATTATTCCAGTGACAGATCATTATATTGTTTACAAGCGTACAAACGCATTTTGGTGGGAATTTTCCAGAAAAAAAGTTATCCGTGACGGAATTCAAGCGTGATTTTTTTATATTTGGCTGGAAAACCACAAGTGGCCATCGTTAGAGCACTCCAGCAGTTAAATGTGAATAAATCTTTTTTGCTCGTTACCGTGATACTGGTAGCGTAGCCCAACGTCAAGGGAGTGGACGGAAGAAAACAGCAACGTCAGCAGAAATGGTTCGAACAGTAAAGAAGCGACTTGATCGAAACCCGCATGGCAGTGGGCGAAGAAATGGCTCGTGAGCTGAACATATCACAATATTCCATTCGGCAAATATTGGAAAATGAGATCGAGGTAAATCCATTAAAATTCCAAAAACTGCAAGACCTTACACCCAATAGAATAAAAAAGACTGAAAAGAGCTAAGGTGTCGCTTCGCTTGACCGAAACTGGCCGACCGAAAGTGCCGAACATGGTTTTTTCCGATGAGAAAACATTCATTGTCCAGCAGTTTGCAAACACACAAAATTACCACGTTTACTTGTCAAAGAGGTAAGCTGAAAATGTGCACCTTTTGTTGGCCACCAGAACTCAAGCGCCGGCCATGGTGATGCCATAACAGCCGATGGTCGCTCTCCGCTCGTATTAATCGACCGTGGCATCAGAATAAATGCCGAAAGCTATCACGAAAATATTTTGGGCACGTAAAAATTTTGGCCGCCGACCTTGGACTTTCCAACAGGACTCAGCACCATCGCCACCCAAGAATGGTAACAAAATGAGGTTCCTCGCTTCATTTTTAGCGCTCAATGGCCATCAAAATCTCCGGATACCAATCCGTTGAACTATTGTGTCTGGAGTATTTTGGAAAGCAAAAGTGGGCCACCAAAACAGTCGATGGTGGCTCTCCACTCGTATTAATCGACCGTGGCATCAGAATAAATGTCGAATATTATCGCGAAAATATTCTAGAGGGTATATAAAAGCCTTGGGCACGAAAACATTCCAACAGGAGACAGCACGCAATGGCTAGAAAGTTGGGTTCCTCGCTTAATTTCCAACGCAAAATGGCCACTAAAATCTCCGGATACCAATCCGTTTTGTGTCTGAAGTATTTTGGAAAGCAAGGTTGGCACTAAAAAATACCTCAAGCAAGCGCTTCGCCAGAAATGGGCCAAAATACCGCAGAGTAATATTCGGGCAGAGTTTGACGGTTTCGTTGGCCGTTTGAAGGCCATAAATCGTGCCAAAGGTGACCAATTCGAACAAATCTATACTTATTTTACAGCTCTGTTATGATTGGAAAATCTTTCGGTGTTCGAGCAGCGTTACATCACATCAAATTTTTGGTTTTTTAAAAATTTGCGGGCACACTTATTTTCATCTTCCCCACAGTACAGGGTTGCCCATATTCGACGGACCCATCTGGCAACGCCATAACTTTGACAGAGATGTCACATCGCTTAATGACATACCGCGTTTGAAGCGTCAGTCCAAGCAGATTTTTACCATGAACCAATACACGGCACGCGAGCGCTCTGAAATAGTTGAAATTTACAATCAGCAGAAGTAGTCAATTGTGAAAACTCAAGGTGCTTTTAAAACATTAAAAAATGTGGGAAGTGCGCCTTCTAAGAACACCATTAAGCGTTTATACGAAAAATTTTCGACTGGTAAGGCTCTTTCTAATCCGAACAGGCCATATAGAAGTCGACCAAGACGATCGGCCGAGAATATCGCTGCCGTACGAGCCAGTGTTGAGAGGTACCCAAGAACATCCCAAAAACGCCGTTCTCAGCAGTTGGGCATGGCTCGGTCCAATTTACAACGGATTATTCGCATTGATTTGCATTTGTTCCCGTACAAAATTCAATTGACGCAAAGAATGTTGCCTGCGGACAAGCCTCGTCGATTGGAATGGGCCCAAAAAAACATGGGTTCGTCGAATATGGGCAACCCTATATCTCCCACACCTATTAAGTTGTTTTTTTTTTATTTTTTTTTTTTGTGTTTTGTGGGGGGGAGGGGGGGGGGGGTGAATAAAACAAAATACCTCCGTCCATAAAAGAAATTTAGTTCGGTTTGCATCACTACAATTAGATTGCTTTTCTCAGTGTTTGACTGAATACTGAGTGGTTATTCGAGCTATTCTAAGCCATTAGTTACGGTTGTGTTAGCATTCAGTCATTTCATTTCATGCTTGCTTTTACTTACACTACACGTTCATTTCGAAAAGAATACGACGAAACGAAAAACGCACGAATTTGTGTGTGCTTTCCAGTTTCATCCGACTCCTATCTCCTATCCAGGCGTTTGCAGTAACTAGGAAATTTTCTTCTTGGAGCAGCATGTACACCAGCATAGAAGATTGCTGAACAAATGGCTACAATGGTCCATTATGTGGCTTGTTCCTTTGTGCCTAAGTTTGTGTGTGTGTGTGTGTGTGTGTGCTTTAAGAATGCCAACAGAGAAAACTGCTGACGCGTTTGGTGAATTATTAAAATGCTTTGCTTTCGGGTCTAGGGTCTAGTTGGTGTCTTACAAATCGAAGTACTTTACAAAGTAAGGTTGGGCTAGGGAATGTATTCCAACAATGGATGAAAGTAAGAGATATGCCAACTATTACGCTATGCTAAATGAACTACAACGCAGACCACATTGTTTGCTTGAAGAACTTTTTAGGGTTGGTTTCTCCAAAAAGACAAGGACCTAGTTTAGCCCCTCTCCAACCATTCGTTAACAAACTAGCCATCTTCGTACTATGGTAATTGTGGAATATGTGTACGACCATGATGATGACGACGACGACGACCACATTCACCATTATTCTAATACCATATTTAATAGACTAGAACCAACAAATAAATGTCATTGTCTTTCGATATACTATATATATATATATTGACAGAGGTCTATGGCCATCGACAAATCGACCAAGACAAAGGCCAAATACATTGAAGTACTCATAAAAGAGCTTAAACACGCACATTTCGCTACTCTATTCGTATTCCTGGCCAATAAAATCAAATAGGAAATTGTGTATTTTCCATAAATTACCCAGTAATTACTAAAGTGTAGCGTTTTATCTATGGCCAATGATTATTAAATGGGAGAGCTAAATGGAGTGGAATGTGTCATTGAAATCAAAGCAATCAACCAGCTAGCCAGCCAATTCATGGAAACCATGAAATGGAGAAGGTTATGGTATGGTAGCCATTCAATTGGATGCCAATTTTATTGTAATGGACACGAATGAATATATTGATGGCTTTGTTAGATGTATTACTTCCAAATCCTCTTTAATATATCTTCTTGGCTGCACAATTATTTCCCTTAGTGGCGGAGAATTTCCTTTTTGGCAGGATTTGTTATCAGTAATGGCAATGTGGTTGGTTTTGACCAAAACAGAGGAAGGAATAAAAAAAACTGGTCGGTTGTCGTAAAACCGCTGTATAAATATTCGACCACATAGAAGCCTTCTTTATCTTTTCTTTTCGTAGAAAACATGAAGCTCTTTTCGTAAATGAAGACCTGAAGGTCTTCGTTTAAAGAAGATGTCTTACTTTGAAGATGATACGGAGGTCTTTTCTTTGATCTTCTCGTAGAAGAAGGCATGAAGGTCTTTTCGTGGAAGACAACCTGAAGATATTAAAAGGAGATGTACCGAATGTCGTCTAAATAGAGAAGTGCTGGAGCTGCTGATTTTAGCTTAGACTCCTCCTAAAAGAGCTGCTCGCTTTCTGCTAGATCAACTGTTTGTCTTCTCTTAGAAGAGTTGCTGGTCTTCTCAGAGAAGAGATTTTGGTCTTCTCAGAGAAGAGCTGTTGGTCTTCTCAGAGAAGAGCTGTTGGTCTACTCAGAGAAGAGCTGTTGGTCTTCTCAGAGAAGAGCTGTTGGTCTTCTCAGAGAAGAGCTGTTGGTCTTCTCAGAGAAGAGATGTTGGTCTTCTCAGAGAAGAGATGTTGGTCTTCTCAGAGAAGAGATGTTGGTCTTCTCAGAGAATATATGTTGGTCTTCTCAGAGAAGAACTGTAGTCTTCTGAGAGAAGAGCTCTTGGTCTTCTTAGAGAAGAGCTGTTGGTCTTCTTAGAGAAGAGCTGTTTCTTCTCAGAGAAGAGCTGTTTCTTCCTAGATAAGATGTGTTGTCTTCTCAGAGAAGAGCTATTGGTCTTCTCAGTGAGGAGCTGTTGGTCTTCTTAGAGAGCAGTTGTTGGTCTTCCCAGAGAGGATCTATTGGTCTTCTCAGAGTAGATCTGAAGTACTTTTTCCAGAAGAGAAGAAGTTATTTTCCCTAAGAAAGGGTGAGGTCTTCCCAACAAAATATCGTAGAAGTTTTCTCCCTGGTGAACTTGAGGCATTTTTATACCATATACCACAAGGTGGTCAGGGTATTATGTCTTTGTGCATTTGTTTGAATCAGGCAAAAGGAAACGAGATAGACCCATAGTTCCTTTTGATGATATGCATAGAATCACATTCTGAGTCGATTTATGCATGTCCGTCACATTCTGAGTCGATTTATGCATGTCATCTGTCCATGTATTTTTGTAAACAAAGTACAGTTAGCATTTATTGCCCTATCCAGATTTTGCACAAATCATTTGTTTGGCCCAAGGACGAACCCTATTGAAATTGGAGATAATCGGTCAAAATTTAGATATAGCTCCCATATATATCTTCGTCCGATTTGCCTTTTATTGTGCACCAAACGTGTAATATCAGTCCGAATTGTGTGGAATTTTGCACGTACGATCAGATTGGACCTAAAAATAAGTATGCCAAATTTGATCGAAATCGGTTCAGATATGGCTATAGCTCCCATATATATTGTTCATCCGATTTGCTATCTTTGTCCTCCGCAGCCGTAATATGCACTCTGTAACAACAATATTTGGGGAAATATATCAAATACAGCTCAGAAATACATTTGCTAAATTTTATCGAGATCGGTTCAGATTTGGATATAGCTCCCATATATAACTTCGTCCGATTTACCTTTGATTGTGCACCAAACGTCTACTATTTGGCCAAATTGGATGCAATTTGGCACATGTGACCGAATTGAGTCTAGAAGCTAGCACGTTAAATTTGGTGAAGATCGGTTCAGATATAGCTAAAGCTCCTATATATACTGTTCATCCGATTTGTCATATTTGTTACCCACAGCCGTAATATGCACTCCAACGAGTGCATACCCACGATATTCAGGAAAATATATCAAATACAGCTCAGAAATATCTTTGCCAAATTTTATCGAGATCGGTTCCGATTTTGATATAGCTTCTATATAAATTTTTATCCGATTTCAATTGTGCACCAAATGGAAAATACAGGTCCGAATTTAAAAGATACAAATGCTTCGGCATATTTAGTTCTTTGAACTTTCAATTATAAATATAATCATAGCGTGTATGATTGAATTCTCCCATAAAAACTTTTAATTGTTATGCGCAGCTCTACTAAATAAGCAAAGTGGTGTAGGGTATCATAAAGTCGGCCCCGGCCGACTTTATGACTTTCTTTACTGGTTTTTTTCTAAAAGTGTTTAAAATCTTCCACATGGAAGAGCTAGAGTCTTTCTCCTAGAAGAACTGGAGGCCTTTTCCCAGAAAGTATGCATTTCTCCTTGTCGAAGTGTTTGAGGTCTTCTCTAATATGACTAAAATTCTTGAAAAGTCAATTTTTTGGAGAAATAGTAACATTGAGATCAATCTTCCCCAAAATCAAGATAACAACAATAATAATATTGACAATATTCCGGCTGTTGTTGTTAGGTGGGTGGTTATCGCTATAGTTGGTGTCAGGAAAACTACAAACTTAACATTTGCTGACAGGCAAGAACTTAACAAGTGAAATAACAGAAAAACTCAAAAGAAACATCCAAAAGAAACTTGGCCAACTTACATGCCACACGTATGATACGTTTATCTTCGATGGCGCCACCAGAAAAACGTAGATTCGTTGCACGACATGTTAGCTCAGCGTTATCATTCTCCGAGGTTACCTTTAGTGTCAGTATGCTGGTTGTTTTATTTGAATCCTAGAGAAAAGTTCGAAGAAAAAAGAGAAAGAAAACATAAAATAAGATATTCGAAAGGATATTCTTGGTGTGCTCCAAACAAACAAACAAACATATGTGTGGGTTTCGGTACTAACCTCCCGCACTGTCACCTCGGGATTGCGAATTGGCTCACCATCCAATAGCCATGTGATTTTGGCTGGCGGATGAGAGCCCGTTGTCTCACATCTAATTGGCACTGGATGTCCTGCTGTCAGCAAATCATTTGGTGTTACAATTTTCACTTTTAAAGGTTTCACTGAAAGGCGACAGAGCAAAATAATGAAATTTATCAAAGGTTAGCAGTTTTCTTTGGTTTTTTTTCCTTGGTGGTAATATTGATATGACTTACAATAGACTTGCAAGGCAACTTCCTTTGTCACCGGCTCTATCAGCTTGGTGCCTTGGGCACGACATTGAATTTTCGCTCCATAGTAATCTCTGGGCGTTGTGCCAATCAGCAATTGATTGACAATGACGGTGGCTCCTTCTTCAGTGGATGTATGGCTGGTACCAATTAATTCGGTGTCTCCCATCCACCAGGTGACTTTTGGTGGTGGGCGACCTGTGTGTGGGAGAAAAAGGAAGAATGTTGATGAAATATTTACGTTATAATAGAACTTGTGTTTTGTTTTTATTTTAATTTCAGCTTTAAAGGTCATTAACAGAATTGTTGCTTTTTGCAAGTATTTGGAAAATCTGTTGCACACATATTCAACTGCCAACCATGTTGGCGAATATTCAAAGTTTTCGTCCGTATTTCAAAATGATAAGCATGAACCACATTGATTAAAGATTTTTGTCAAGATTCATATAATAGCTAATATCAGAAGATTCCTTAATGTGTAGCGCTCATCGGAACTTGGACTATATTAAACCAGTAAGGAAAGGTCAAAAGTCGGACGGGGCCGACTATATGATACCCTACACCATGTGAAGCATGGTTCATGAACCTTATTTGAATGATATCATGGCTTTAGAGTAGTCACAATTCGGGAACCAAATATCCAACTCGGAATCGATTTTCAACAAATTCGACGGAAGCTTTGGACCTCTAGTACCAAATAGTATTGCTGTATAGTGCATGATATGACTTCAATAAGAATTATATTAAAAAATATTTATTCAAGATATACCGGACCGAGTTTCACCATATTGTAAAATTTAGTCGAATATGAAAAAATCTATTCAATTTGGGCTAATATTACGTATATGGTAAGCAACTATAAAATCGGATGAAGATGTATATCGAAGGTACATACAAATATTTTAGAGCTGTATCTGATGTCCGGTATCAAATAACATTGTTGTGGATTGCATTTTACGCATTTAAGGGACTTAAACCCCAAATCGGATGAAACGTATGCACCGATTTTAGCCAAATTTGAAGTAGTTATTTCTGGGATGAATTCAGTCGGAATTTCTCCATTTGGGCTGATATTAACCATGTGGTGCACAATAAACATGAAATCGGATAAAGGTATGTATGGAAGCTAGTATATTCAAATCTAAACCGATCTTGATAAAAATTGCCAGAGGTATTTCGGGGCTATATCTGATATATGGTACCAAAACATCATTCTTTTGGAGTGACTTCACGAATGAGAGGGACTTAAACACCCAATCGGATGAAACATATATATGTGGGAGCTATAGCTATATCTGAACCGATTTTCATCAAATTTAATACCCTTGCTTCTAGACTATATGCACAGTCCAGAAATGTCAAAATTTAGGTCATTCGGACTGATATTGCCCATTTGGAGCACAATTTACCCGGAATCGGTGAGTATATATATGTGGGAGCTATATCTAAATTTGAACCGATTCACACAAATTTCTGTAGAGTTCGTCCTTGGGCCAAACAAATAGCATTTGGAAAACTTCACCTCAATCGGATAATAATAAAAATATTTGGACAGACGGACGGACGAATACCCTTAACACTATGTGGTGTAGGGTATAAAAATTGAAAAAAGATTTCCCATTTACTGACAAAAAAGCAGTAAGTTCAGCCGGGCCGAACTTTTAATACCCACCACCACCATTTGGAACGAATTTGGAAATTTTCAAAAAATTACACTTGCCAAAAATTCTGTTAAAATCTTAAAAATACCGAATATAGCCGCTATATTGGGGTCTATAGGAAGACGTGGATGTGGAACATAGACAACTTTTGTCATAAGTCATTACAATATTCAAATACGCAACCTGAAAAAAATCCGGTGAATAATATAGCTAAAATCATCAAAATACCGAATATAGGGAGGTACTGATATATGGAGCCTATACGAAATCCTGACCGGCATAGACAATTTTCTGTCAAAAACTGTAATTCCCATTACGTACTCTAAATATGAAATTTGAAACAACTCAGGTGGATATGAAGCCTATACGAAGATGTTGGTCTGCATAAACAATTTTTATACCATACACCACAAGGTGGTCAGGGTATTATGTCTTTGTGCATTTGCTTGTAACATGGAGAAGGAAGCGAGATAGACCAATAGTTACTTTTGAGGATATGCATAGAATCACTTTCTGAGTTGATTTATTCATGTCAGTCCGTCTGTCCGTCCATCCGTCTGTCCATGTATTCTTGTGAACAAAATGCAGGTCGCATTTATTATCCGATTGAGATGAAATGTTGCACAAGTCATTTGTTTGACCCAAGGACGAACCCTATTGCAATTGGAGATAATCAGTAAAAATTTAGATATAGCTCCCGATTTGCCTTTTATTGTGCACCAAACGTGTAATATCAGCCCGAATAGTATGGAATTTGGCACATACGACCGAATTAAGTCTAGAAGGTAGTATGTCAAATTTGGTGAAGATCGGTTCAGATATAGCTATAGCTCCCATATTTATTGTTCAACCCATTTGTTATTTTTGTCCTCCGTAGCCGTAATATGCACTCTGTAACAATAATATTTGGGGAATATATCAAATACAGCTCAGAAATACCTTTGCTAAATTTTATCGAGATCGGTTCAGATTTGGATATAGCTCCCACATATAACTTCGTCCGATTTACCTTTTATTGTGCACCAAACGTCTAATATTTGTCCAAATTAGATGGAATTTGGCACATACGACCGAATTGAGTCTAGAAGGCAGTATGCCAAATATGGTTAAGATCGGTTCAGATATAGCTATAGCTCCCATATATATTTTTCATCCGATGTGTTGTATTTGTTACCCACAACCGTAATATGCACTCCGTAACAACGATATTCAAGGAAATATATCAAATACAGCTCAGAAATATCTTTGCCAAATTATATCGAGATCGGTTCAGATTTGGATATAGCTCCCATATATATTATTATCCGATTTTAAATTATTTGTGCACCAAATGGGCAACACATGTCCGAATTTAAAAGATACAAAAGCTTCGACATATTTAGTCCTTTGAACTTTAAATTATAATTATAGGGTGTAGGGTATCATAAACTCGGCCCCGCCCGACTTTAAGACTTTCTTTACTGGTTTGTCATAGGCAATAGTACCCATTACCAAATCTTGTTACGAATTTTACTTCTTGTAAAGAACTTCCAGAGGGTAAAGTACATAAAGGGAACTGCTTGTGTTTATTTTCAGAGAATTTCATTGAAAAAGTTGGCTAAAATCATGAAAATACCGAATAAAGGGAGGTACCGCTGTATGGGGTCTATACGATATCGTGGACAGTATATAGCCAAGATTCGAACTTTACGTGCCTGCAGACAAACGACTGATCTGTGCAAAATTTTAGCTTCCTATTTTTATTCGTTTTTACGGACAGACGAACGGACGGGTAGGGCTAAATCGTCTTAGAATTTTACGCTGATCATGAGTATATATATTGTGTTATTTCTAAAATGATTATTTCGATGGGTTACAAACGGAATGACGATCGTAATATATCCTCCATTACGCTATAAACATTTCGTAGAAAATAGCATAAATTCGGAATTTATCTTTATATGGAGGCTATTCGAAATAGTGATCCTACATTCATTCATTCTTACTTGTTTTTGTAAGATTTGAGTTCTACTAACTTAATATCTTCATCCTAACTGGAAATTCCCCACTCCCTGATGTTGAGTCTTATGTAATCTTACTTAAATGTTGATATTTATGCATCAACATTGCCTTTCAAAACAAAGGCTTCCGTTCAATCAATGTCCAACAGCGGAATAATTAACTCTATTTCCTTCGGAAATTAATCTCCCCCCTCAACCACAAAACGCTTAAAAACAAAACGGCCACAATAAGAAAACCCACACCACTACCAGCGGATGCCAGTTAATGATGATTCAATTCTTTGGTGAAAATCCACGGAAATTTTACAGTCAACAAGTAACGGTTTGTAACATCAAACACCAAATTCAAAAGAAACTCCAACCGGCAACAGTAACTGATTGTGGCCGGTTAATTTACAGACAAATCAAAAAGCGGCGAAGGAAGCAGCAACAAAAGCAGCAAGAGGGATTGAAAAAACTCCTCACAATTACTATGAAAGAAAATCCCCACCAGAACACACACACACATTGAAAGATCAACGAAAACAAAAGAGAAACTGTCAGAATATTTAGCATCCCAAATTTATGTTTATCATCATCATCATCATGTCCTCCACTAGGATATGCATGAAAGTAGGAAATATGAGGTTTAGCTATGAATGTATGCGTTCCTATGCGTGCAATTCCATGTACATGTTTGTGTTAGTGTGCAATTCAATGCTGCGAGCAAAGTTATCTGGAAATCTATGCTCCATATATCCGCACACCCACACACAATCACACATTACAAGTGTTGTATAAACAAGATTGATGGGTATGTAGCCAAAACTTACAAATGAATACATATGTATTACACTGTATAAACGTGCATATGTGTGTATGGGGGTGTGTACCAGTGCGTTTAACAGATCACAGGAGTATGTCAGGATGTTGGCAATGATGTAGCCGCTCCTCCACCCGCCACCTACTCTCATCACTATTGGACAGATGTGAATGAGAAAAAAGGGTTATTTGTTAGATTCATAAACAACTAAGCGAATTATTAAAACAGATGTTCTGGAATTCAATGCTAGGTTGTGGGTGGGCGAACTATTCATGTTTTTTTTTTTTTTTTTTTTTCTTTTTTTTGAGGGAGTTACAATTAATAGCTCGAGTGAGCAAAAAAAAATATTTTTTTAATTAAATTGAACAAAAACTAGACGGAGTGAAAAATGTATGTGTAAATGAATTTAGAAACATTGGGGGAAAGATTTAATGTCTTGCATTGTTAGATGGAGATATGAGTGGTGGTTTTTAAGAATATTTCTTGAGGGATTATTAGATTGCAATTGTAAAGAAAAATTTAATCATCATTGATTGTGGATTTCCTAGAATATTTTTTGAAGAACTAAATTTGAACTTTCCAAACTAAACTAAAAAAAGTAACAGATCAGATTAATCCAAGGCCTAGTGTGAAGATGGAATATATCGGTCCACTCCTTCTGGTACCTCCCCACAAAGTGTCAAAATTTTGAATATCCATGAAGCTCATAAAACACGAAATTAACATCCGACATCT